CTATGTTCGCTTGTCCAGGGGGGGTCCAAACACAATGAAGAGATATATAATATTTTTGTTATACTATGGGATATCTGCAACAGTAAAAGAACCAAAATCCCAGAAGACATTGAGCAAATAAATATAACAAACAATAGGGTAAAAATGACTAACTATTTCCATGTCTTCAACCTTTTTTATGTACAGAAAACACGCTTTCCTTCTCCCGTTCTCTCCCACAGATGCACACACAGTAGTTACTCGCACACACACGTGGAGACGTGGACAGAAACTTCTTGTCAGAGCTGCTGCTGCCCCCCGAATTTATCAATAAAATAGTTTCGCAGCTGAAAAGCAACATGACATTTCTCAGTAGCAAGGTTCTTGAAGCAGTTAAACTTAAAGATTCGCTATTAATACGAATAGCGAATTCATCTGCTGCTGAATAGATGCACAGATGCAAGTATTCACACGCACTTAATCTCTCTCCCTCTCTAATAACTGCGTTAGACTGCATTAATAACTGCATTAGCCTGCATATCAATGGTTCAAGCCTCTGTTATTAGCTCTAAAATGACTTTTGGAGTTTGCAACGGAAGGTTTGGGATGAGGTGCGTAAAAAATTTGCTAGTTCAACACCCACGAGATTTCAGGATGGAAACATATCAAATGTCTTGAAACAAATCATCTGAACAATTGATGTGTGATTGTGACTCCAGGCCGTTAAAATTATTAGAGAAATAATGCACTCCCGAAGTGGTTATTATGTGGCCACGTCTCCGCGCCTATTAATGGAATGGTCTTTCTCAGTTCTCAAACAAATTAAGAGCTACATTCGATTTTTATTGACTGAACGCAAGCGCTTATTGCGATAGAAAACACTGTAATGGTTTCCACTGATTAAGAAATATTTTTGTTTGCTTGGGTGGTAATATTAGGCCTATTATATTAATAGGGAAGGGGGCCCAAAAATTTGTTTTGCCTATGTCACGAAAAGAGGTAAATCCGGCCCTACTCATAACATAATACAAGAAGTCATCAATCATATTAATAATAATCAGTATATCATTATGCCCCTGCCAAGGGCCCCTATTACTCAGTTCTGGAAAGATACTGAAACTAGTCAGGGAAACTGTGAAGCTTTTACCCTGGTCTCGCCTGCCTCATTTGGCTGAAGAGTGAGACTTTCCACACTTTGAGAGTGGGCAGAGTTCTGTAATCAAAAATGGCTTGATTCTACTCTGTATTTACATTCATAAAAATGATATGTAGTGAAAGTTTAATAATATTACAGTCTCTGTAATTTAGAAAACATCCTGAGACATAATGCAGCCCTAAAGGGGAGACTGAGCGCCCTCTTGAGGAAGAGACCATATAGCACGACATCATCATCTAGCCTCAAAGGCATGTATGGGACAGACTGGCTTGCTCGTAGTTATGAATCAAGGCTGTGGCATAAGAGTCCCAAAAGTATCCATACATACAACAGTGCAGACATTTAAGGAACCTTGATTTTCTGCATGCAACAGTTACATGCATGGATGGACCCAGGGGCGACGCTATGGTTTCTGGGCCCCCTCAGTAAAAATCACATTCCATGGGGAAGCTGCATCGGACCCCTTCTCTGATCAGGACCCTTTCAATGGAAGGATAGAAACTTATCAGGTTTCATTAAAAAAATGTTTTCATTGGTTTCCAAAATTAACTAATGTCGTGTGGTTTTGGAATGACAGGAGGGTGGGTAAATGATGACAGAAGAATATCAGAGAATACAGTATAAACAAGAAGAGACAGAACTTCATAGAAAGGCTGTGACATGACTACAAAAGGACTTAGCGTCAATACAAAAATATTCCTTATTCTATATAAAAAAAAAAAAAACATATTGCAACATAAAATAACATTTAAAAAAAATGTAGACCTTTAGGAACAGCCAAGAACAACATACATAATGGCTTTCATGCAATAGACTAATTACAGTGACTTAACAATGATGGGTTTTCTGCTGGGACTGTCGCCAGTACTGTTAAAGACATTATTAGAGCAGTAAAGGGTCTGTCTGTTTGCCATCAGAAGCATCACGGCACTAGTAACGGCAATGTCATGGGTTTGATTCTCAGGGAATGCAAGACTTATGAGATGCAATCAAGTGGCTTTGGATGAAAGCATCTACCAAATGCAGAAATGTAAATGTAAACACAGGACAGGAGAGCAGGCAGCTCACATTAATCATCAATATGATACAGGTCTGTTAAGACACACAGAGACTGACAGCAATATAAGACATGACATGACAGAAACATGACGTCACTTACATAACCTACCCACAAACAAACACGCCACATTACAACCTATTTCATTCAATTCAGCAGCTTTATTTCATCACCATATCTCATGTAACAGTTAGATGTTATTTCATGTATGATTAAACAAAAAAATTAAAATCCACACATATATATATATACAAAAGCATTTTATTTCAGTTGAATGGGAAAAGTCGTGAACGGCTTCTCCGACTCTAATGGCAGTTTTGTTTTGTGTCAGTCTTAGCAGACTTTACGCAGTGAGGACATGATCCTAATCACTAAGTTCTAGGGGCCGTTTATCTGGTTTATATTTTGTCTGGTGGAAACATACAGAGCGGCAGTGAAATCAGCACACTGATGCTGGACACAGGATAACACACACACACACACACACACACACACACACACACAGAGAGTGTTCTCCCACCAGAAATGAAATGCAGCGTCATAGCACCTGCAAATGATAATGTTCCATTGACCCACAATACACTGTAAAGGCAGAGAAATATGACACTTAAAAGTTCAAGTCTATCATCACGCCTGCTCATCCTGTACAACACTGAAAACACTCACAGACGCACACATTTAAACACACAGACAGGTATGGTTGAATGTTAAAGTCCTTAAGTATGTGGTGGGAAAACGCTCTTCATGGTCCAGGCTGCATTTGTGACCTCAAGCTGCAGTGAATAATGGGAATAAAGCGCTCATTCGGTAAAGAATGGATGTTCCAAAGCATTCAACGCAGAGATTCGTTTCAACGGGTCGAACGTCAGCATTTCCTGTTCAGACAGAGGAAGATGAGAGTCAACAAAAGGGTGTTCATTTAGTTAGTTTATTCGTTTAGTTATTGTGGGTTGAAAGAAACCAGTCAAAACAAACATTTAAATTAGTGTTATTTATTTAGTATCACTATATACTACTCAGAGGTCGCGTTAACCGCAAATTTTCCGTCATTCATGTAATTTTTTTTAGCAGTGACAGAAAAATCTGACTTCGACAGATTACACTGAGGGTGATCTATTGTAATTTATAACTGTAATTCCCACACCTGTCCAGTTGGTGGCAAGTGCGCTGCAGTGTGGCAGAAGAGCACGGGATCATCAGATACAGAACAAAAATAAAGCTGTCACCAGTCTTTTGCTATGCCTTTGATTATGCACAGGCGAGTACCCACTAGTAAAGCGAAAGAGATGATCAGTTCACTGCGCTGCAGCTTCGCTTGATCTGAGGTGTCTAAAGCGGTCTATCTTGCCACATTAAAGAGCGCCAAAACGGTATTTATTGCTTGTATTTCCTAATAAAATGGACAGAATTTGAAATCTGAGACTTTGTTTCATATCAAAAGTAACAACGTACAAAGCTTAGCCTATTGAGATTTATTGGATGGGAGGCGCACTATATTTACGGTTCATTCATTAACAGAAAACAGAATCGACTGGGATTTAAGAATCGATATTGGTACATAAAAGTGAGAATCTATTAAAATCGAGAAATCAATTTTTTTTTTACCCAGCTCTAGCATGTTTAGTTGTTTTTAGTGGCCTCCGCTGTCACTGCGGTGTGTGTTGAACATGAAAAGTGACGCACCGTCTCTGTTAATCTGTTCTCTTCATAAATAAATGCATAAGCGTATATGCTCGTCCTGTAGCTTCATTATTAAAAATTAAAATGTGAATAACATTTTTTTAAAAGCATAAAAAGCAATTAAACGTGTTATTATAATAAAAAAATTAAAATTAAAATGACGGGCAATACCGTATTGGCCCGAATATAAGACGACCCTGATTATAAGCCGACCCCCCTTTTTCCAGATGTTCCTTTTGGAAAAAGGCTTTTTAAAAACCAAATCTTGTTTTTTCTCAGTAAAACACATTTTGTCTTCAATTATTTTCATATTGCATATTTTTCCTATTTTAATTTTTGTTTAAGATGACCGCGTTTTTTCAGATGTATTTCCAAGAAAAAAACATCGTCTTATATTCGGGTCAATACGGTAATAGATTATGATGGAATTTTTACGACCCTGTCCGTCAAAATGATGGTCAATGTTAAAGTCTAACGCAACCTCTGATACTACTATAGTTTTTTACTATTATATTTTCATCTTAATTTTAATGTTATAGTAATTTTGTTTTTATTATTTGTATTCCGTTAAAGTGGTTTTAGTATTTCAAATCAAATTTGCAACTAGACTTGTGCCGGTATTCGGTAATGTGATATATCATAAGATGCGCGTTAAATATCGCATGCGATTAATCGTGCAGCCCTAATATACATGTAAATACACATACATATTTTCAAAATATATACTGTATGTATGTGTATTTGTACATACATAATAAATATACAAAGTACACACATATATATTATGTAAACAAAAACTTTTATTTTGGATGCGATTAATCATTTGACAGGACTAGTAAAATCTATATATTGAATGTTCTAAATAAATAAGATTCTAAATAAGAAATAAAATTCCTGTGAATTTGGTTCATTAATCAAGCTAATTCTTATGAAAAGGTTCATCATTTACTGGACGCCGGTAAAGCAGCATCTTTGAGGGCTTTTTTTTTTAAAAAAGCATCATTTTGATGTGCACTAATAGGACACTCAATAATTGCACATGAGCATTTACAGCCACCTGGAAGATGCTTTCAGCCTGATTAACTATTAAACTGCACACACTGCCCTTTATGAGCATCACTGTCAGACTCACTTGCGTCTGAACATCTCAGCGAAGATGCAGCCGGTGCTCCAGATGTCCACCGGCGTGGCGTAAGTGGTCTGGAGCAGCACCTCAGGACAGCGATACCACAGCGTCACCACCTGAGTGGCAAGAGAAGACAGCATCAGATGTGTTTGCACTGCAGTGCGATCGGCGCTCAGGACGCGAGAGCAAGCATTTCCGTCTCACCACCGGTGTGAGCGCCATGTGGCAGCTGTAGATCCGCGCCAGACCGAAGTCAGCCAGCTTCACCTGCCCTCTGCTGGTCACCAGGATGTTCTCTGGCTTCAGGTCCCGATGCAGAACTCGATTAGAGTGCAAGAACGCCAGACCACACAGCAACTGCTGCATCAAATCCTGCATCACACACAAACACAATGCATCTGGGTTACGTTTTATTTTTTATGTGTTCTTGTTACAGTGTAATTAGTGAGTACTGAGTAATATTAATAACTGCATGTATGTACTAGAAGGTTAGGGTTTGGTTGAAATGTTAGTTGCTTGTAAAAACTTGCGTGTACTTACAGTGTACTGGGTAACGCATTGGGTTAAGGTTAGGTTTAGGGGTAAGTTCAGGGTAGGTATTTAGTTATTACCCAGTTATTGTAATTACTATAACATGTGAAACAGGACTGTAAAATAAAGTGCTGCTGTTATGCACATGTTACATGTGTAACAAGAACACTGAAATGAAATGTGTTACCTACATCTGTCTTGGGTGATTGGAACATGGGTGGCTCATTTCATTTCAAAGCATTTCAAACCTTTCTGTTGACATGTTTTAGGTGAGCTTTCGCCGCTGCCCATCAGGACATGTAAGCGTTTGCATTACATATGTAATGATGTGTTTCTAAACATTGTCCAAAAATACAACAAAAACAGTAATATTGTGAAATATTTTTGCCATTTACAATAACACTTTTCTGTGTGAAATATCTTTCAAATGTAGTTTATTCCAGTGATGCAAAGCTGATTATTATGCTGATTCACTGCTCAAGAAACATTACTTAATATCAATGTTAAAACTGTGATAAATTTTTTTTCTCAGGATTCTTTGGTGAATAGAAAATTCAAATGATCAGCATTTATTTGAAACAGAAATCTTTCGTAACATTATAAATGTCTTTACCGTGACTTTTGATTAATTGAATGTGTCCATGCCGAATCAAAGTATTTATCTCTTTATTTTTTCTTAACGACCCTACAGTCTAGTGCAGTGCAATGCTGAATTCAATAATGTTTTTTAAAACGCAGTAAAAACACGTCTTTCTGGAGTCATTTTCCCAAAAGCAACCATGGTTGCGAAGTCTGTCGTTACCAACAGAGTTCAAGGACAATTGAGACCATAGTTAGTTAACAATGCTTTTGGGAAACGCACCCCTGAACAGTTAGAACACTACATAATTTCAAGGGAAACATCCAGTAAATATTTTACACCACAAGGCTGTAAAGAAGAGGTTCGGAGCGTCTGAACTAGTGGACGGAAGTCTTGTCTCAGTCTGAAAACTCTTTTGAAAGCATTCAGTTTGAGCCTGAACTTCCTTCACTGTATATTTAACTAATTAAATCACTGAACCGCAAACAAACATTTGGACTTGATCTATATTTATGCCAGTGTGTTTCTACATGAAGCTTCAGATGAAGTCTGACGCAATAAACATCTGGATCAGCATGGAATTCCTTTTTCCTCCTCATAGTTGCTCAGTCAAATGACACAAATCCACTCCACAGGAATGAACCTACAGAGCTGGATATGCAAGTCCTGTACGGGCTTCTGCAGCGTGTGAGCGAGTGAACATGTTGGTGATCTTACTCTGATCCGGTCGATGGACAGTCCGGGTGCCGGCACTTTCTCCAGATACGTCCTGAGGTCCTGATCCACGTGTTCAAACACTAGAGTTACTTTAGTTTCCTGGTCTGTTCTCAGTGTGGCGCACACGTCCATCAGCCTGAACACACACGTCACACAAATCAAATGTGCCTGTTTGTATGCAGATAATAACAGATGCAGATAATAAGAATTTATTTTATTTTTAAAGTATATTTTCCTTTTTTTCCCCAAAAAAATTTATATTAGATATCAGTATTTAACATTTTGCATCAAACATCAAAACATGATTTATGCATTTATAACTGTAGGTTAACGGCATTCACATCCTGCATTAAACAGCCTGTGTAAATGCATCTAAATGCCACTTCAGATGCAGCTTCTGTGCCACCTGTGCATTGCAACGAAAGATTTTGTTGATACTGATTTCATTTGATTGGTAACAGCCCTATAGTGTCTTACTATTTGAATTGAATTTATTGATTAAATGTAAGAATTCGACAAAAAAGATGATGCATACATTTAATTAGGTTAGAGAAAATTGGTCTTATAAAGGTAAAAATACACATAAATTATAAAAATCTATTTAAACGTATTGGAAAAGCTCATTTCTGTTACTTTTGCAAACTAACCACCTCATGTTATGAAGAATATCAAAAGCTTTAGGAGTCGTCTGTCCATGGCAGTCCTAAACCTGCCAAAATACCAGCACAATAACTCGCTCAGCAAAATATTGTCTAATTATCGGTATCGACAAAATATAAAGAGATATAATTTTTTGTCACTATCACACACCCCTATTTTAGACACAATATTGTTGTTTTTGCTCATTTTGCAAACAAAAATATTACCTATAAAGCTACAGCAGAACTGTTGTGTTTCTCCGATCAACACACAGCAGTAGCCTAATTTGTTTCTAAGGGTGTATTCACACCAGGAAAGTCCGCTAGTTCACTTGCTTTGGTCCGGACCAAATACAATGTTGATTTTTTTTTGTTTGGTGCGGTTCGCTTTCACACTTCTCTTTTTTGCAAGTGAACCAGAAATTGTAAACAAAACCACACGTGTGCTAAGGTCATCCATTCATTGGACAGAAATTCTCAAGCAGGGAAAACAGGAAGTGCAAAACAGGCTAATCATGGAGATCTTTCGTAGTGCAATTTTTATTCTTTTACTGATTTGGTGTTATCAGATACTAACGCAATATAAGGAAACTTATGAGCATCATATGAGACAATGTCATACGATGTTGTAAGTACACCTTGCCAAAAATATCTATAGATAAAATACTTAAAGCATATCACAATGTTAGTTTAAACATTTAACCTAGATAAATGTGCACTATTAGGTGCATATCCAATCGTTTGTGCGGAGAGTGGAAGCTGAAGCGCGCTTCAGGACATCAGTGGAAACAAATTAAATACGCCGTCATTTTTGCTCATAAAGGTAAGAACAATACATCGTTCAGAACTGTAAAGGGTCTACTTTTATTTGTGTGCACTCACAATATCAACAAAACATTGTGCTTTTGTAAAATAAAGAAAACAAATAGGATGCGCTTGCCGTCTCTGTGTTGAACAGGAGCGCTTCACAAAAATGATGAATATATCTATAGAAAGCTTTAAATGACCACAAAACGAAATAATTCAAATCCAAAAAAAAAAAAAAAAACCTCTTTCATTATGTAAAGATGCATTTCTTTTCGCGTCCATGATGAGATGGCGAGGCAGGATCATCAATTTCATCTTTGCGACACTGACTCAGAAAACACTAGTTAATTAATAAATAATTCAAAAATCTCCTTACTAGTTTCCCCCGATATAGTCATGGTAATTTTTGCGGCAAGATTTAGCCTATTTAGCGCGCTCACGTCACGTTGCTGTGCGCCATGGTCACAAAAACTCATCATTTGCATGCATTTTTAAGCATTGTGGTTTAAAAACAAGTGATTTAAGCCATTGAAACGCAAACAACAACACTTGTGCAAGCTGTATGTTTCTGAGCGGGATTTCTGCAATTGGGTCGGATCGCGGTCGGGTCATATTCACACCTTAAACGAACCGTACCAGAGTTAGTTTTGAAGCGGACAAAGACCACCTCTTCAGCTGGGTCTCGGTACGGTTGTTTGGTCCGCACCCGAGTGCGATTGCTGTATTCACACCTGCCCAAAAGGTCTGCACCAAGAGGGGAAACGAACCTGAGTTCGATTCAATCGAACCTAACAAGACAGGTGTGAATACACCCTAAATGAATGATTCAAAGGCCCATTCATAAAGAAATTAATTTACTTAATTCCTGAAGAAGGAATCAGCCATGTGAACAAATCAAATGAATGGATCAAAGAATCAATTACTTACTTATTAAGACATTTACCACCACCTCCTGGCAGTCTTTGATTATTAATTATAGTATAATTTTATTGAAAAAGAATTTCATATTTCCATATTAATAAAAATCCTATTAAAGGGATAGTTTGCCCAAAAGTGAAAAATTTGTCATTTATGACCTGTATGACAATTTTTTGTCTTTAAATAAAACTAAACTGTCTTGGTTACCACTGACCTCCATTGTATGGAGAAGTGAAAAAAAACGTTTATTTTTCTGCTTTTCTCATTTATCACAATATTGGCTTTAAATGATCTTTTGGGGTAATTTCTCAGCCAAATCTGATTTGCGTTAGTTAGATTAATTAATCACCACACCATGTAATTAATTTGATACAAAATTTTTATCACTTGACAGATCTATTTTATACTGAAATTTTGAACAAGACTAGTACTAGTACAGACAGTGTTTAATTATGTACACTGTTAAAAATGTTTGTAATTTTTACAGAAAAATACTGGAATGAATACTACAGTATAAACCTGTTAACTGTAAGCTACAGTGAAAAAAAAAACTGTACATGCTTTAACATCACATTATGTGATTTTATTGTAAAATACTGTCAGTTTTATAGCTATTGCAAGTAAAAATTGTCAATTTTAATATACAGTGAAAACCAGTAATTGCAGCACCTGTATTATCAGTGGTTATCAACGCATTTAAAGGTAAAAAGCAGATATTGGTAGTTCAAGTAATTTGATAAATTAACATATCACTTACTATACGCTTATAAGCTGTAAAATATACCGGTACCAATATGCCATCCTGATACACTTGAAACATTGTCACTGTACTTTTCACAGTTAATTATTTTGGCAACAATAGCCGATTTTAAGCATAAATTTAACAGGATATTTTCAACAGTGTAAGAGACCCTCTAAAAACATGAATCTAGTACAGTGGTTCTCAACCCGTGGCCCGCCACGAATTCAAATGCAGCCCACCATGCTGAACACAATTTAAAAAATAACTTTCAGTTTTACAATTCATTTTAGTTTTTTACATTAATTAAAAAATTGTTTAAAACCGTTTATGTCTACAATTTTAGAAAAAGTTATGTCTGCTCAATTGTGTTCCTTCCTGGAAAAAAATTATCTCTATGAATAATTTCAGTCAGGTTTCAGGCCCCACTATAGCACAGAAACTGCACTTGTTAAAATAACAAATGACTTGCTTCTTGCGACCAAAAATGTAAAAGATTGGATGACCAATAATTTTCTCCTATTAAATTTGGATAAGACAGAGTAGATATTACTTATTGGACCAAAAAACTGTACATAGAATCTCTTGGATTACAATTTGCAACTAGGTATTATTCTTTATCTTGGGTTAAACAAATCAATTTTGCTTGGTTGGACCAGCAGCTATGCTAATTATGTCTCTATTTGTTTCTCTGTTTGTAACTAGGAATTACACACACTTCAGTCTGGATCCAGAACACCTGAGAAGAGATGATGCCAACCCCTCAGAGGACCTCAGATGATGCCAACCCTGAAACAACATACAGAACTACCACATTTTGCTATAAGTTTGATTGCATCATATAATAATTGCTGTTAATAGTGTTCATCGTCTGTTTGATTACGTCTTTAATTGATTTTTCCGTACATTTCTGACATAAGTACATTAACTGACAGTCACCACTGATAAGCTACTTCTAAATATATTGTAGAAACTTCATTTTCTGTAAAGTTGCTTTGCAGCGATTTGTATTGTGAAAAGTGCTATACAAATAAACTTGAAAAATGTACTAAACAAATATAAGCTATAATGTTTTTGTTAAGTAAAATAATTTTGTTTTTCATATATTATTTTCAGACATGAGCAGACCTGTACTCACGTAATTAACGTTATGCATTTAACGAACACTTACAAGCGCGCACTTTGGCAGAATTCAATTCAAATAGTCATCAGCAGTCATTAGTTTGGTCAAATTGAGCATCAGAATTGACAAATTTGTTATTAAGGGAGAAAAACTAAATGTGGAAAATGCTGGTGAAGGAATACATACAAACAAGAATAGTCGCAGTATCAGAAGTGAAGGTAGGAGAGTGCTGGACTTTCGGTTTGCCCCGCCACTCACTTGAAGATGTTCAGGCAAAAGGAAACACCCATACTACGCAGCAATCATCCTTAATTGCAGAAATGTGGCAAAACATCTCTGGAGAGAACCTCAGATTATTACATTCGAAAGGTCTTTCCATATTTGGATCAACACAGGCTACATTTGTGAACGCACATTTTCTGCAATGTCGTGTGTCTTACAGACCGCAAACTTACAATCGCAACTTCATTGTGCTGTTACTCTATTCGAGCCGAATTTCACAAAATTGGTCAGCTCCCGACAGCATCAGGTGTTTTATTAATGGCAAGTAGAATTATTTATTTATCTCAATGAATCTAATCGAGTACATATCATAATATTTAGGCTATAATAGGGCTGGGTAAAAAATATTGATATCTCGATATTAATCGATTCTCATTTTTATGGAACGATATCGATTCTTAAATCCCAAGAATCGATTAGTGTAGCCTGTTTTCAGTTAATGGACGGAACATTGAAGGGATCCAATATATCGCAATAAGCATTGTGCGTTGGTACTTTTAATATGAAACAAAGTCTCAGATTTCAAATTCTGACCATTGTATTGCAGTATTCAAACAATAAATGCCGTTTTGGCGCTGTTTAATGTGGAGTGACAGATCGCTGTAGCGATTCAGTTCAACAGACGCAGCAGCGCAATGCGCACGTGAACTGATCATCTCCTCCACATTAATACCAGTTTCAGCACAAAATAAACATGACTAAACATCTGAAGGAAAGTTAAAAGAAAGAGTACAACTTCACAATTCGTATCCTGCCTTAAATAATCGCTCAATCAGTGTTTCAGCCGCGCAAACACGTCAATATAACGGCTTGTAAACATTGTCACGTAACGTCACATTTACCTCAGAAAAAACATATTCGGTGACCATAAACTCATTCATCAGGTAGAAAAATAAACTGTAGAGAGGGGCATTTTGCTAAATATATGCACCATATAACATATTCATTACACAGTTTACTGTTCTTCAATGTTTAATTTGTTTGAATAAATCCATCAAGTTTCATTATGTTTATATTAAAAAAAACTAATTGAAGTAGAAATATTATGTAATTGTAACTTTATTATTTTAAAAACTTCATTAAGTGTAATTTTAACAAATCAGTCAATTTTAACCTTCAATATTATAGTAATGTAGTACCAACTGACTTTCATGTAAATTTTACAGCATTAGTTTTTTTCCTTGAGAAAATTTGGTATATGCACTGTACCTGATATATATCCAAAATAATCGATATTGAATCGAATCGCAAGCTTGTGAATGAGAATCGAATCGAATCGTGAAATTTGTGTCAAAACCCAGCCCTAGGCTATATTATAAATCTGGTTGGTTTGTATTGGTGACGTAATATGTAAATGATATGCATACAGCCCGTGAGACTCGCACTTGGACCATAGTGCGGCCCAGTGGAAAAAAAGGTTAAGAACCACTGATCTAGTATTTGAATAGCTGAATCTGATGATAAAGATGGGGTGGGGGGGGATAAGGACATGATTTAACCTTCCGCTTCATATTTGATTTTGCAATTATCATCCTTACATGATCCATAAAGACCTTTTCATTCTTTTCTCTCTCTGATACATTGTAATGTGCTACTTTCCATACAAAGTAAATATGTAACATAATTAGTTGATTTATCAGTAACAGCTGGCAAATCTCAGCTGTGAGAATGAGTAAACAGAAGACCCGTTTCTCCAGACTGTCTCAGTGTTTTTAATCTTTGTTAATGTGCAGGTCATTGCAGAGCAGAACACAGACCACCACTGGAAACAGTCATACAAGAAGGAATAATGTACCATTCAGTACTCGTCAGAGGCAGAGGCAAGACCTGATGTGAAATAAAATGTCATCTGCTCTGGATTTATTGTTGTAAAAAATTAAAATGACGGTAATTTGACTGAAGCCATAGTAAAATGTAATGCGAAACCTGAATGTGTAAAAAAATGTTTGAATGAGGTTCCTGTTGAAGTTGGTGCACAGAACATGCGTGAGCGTGTGTGTTTCGGTACCTGACGATGTTGGGATGGTCGAACTGCTCGAGTCGTTTGAGCAGCGCCACCTCTCGCACCGTGGACAGAGGAAGGCCGTCTTGATTGGTCTGCACTCTCACACTCTTCAGAGCCACAAACTGCCCGCTGTCTCTATCTCGAGCCTTGTAGACGGTCCCGTAAGCGCCGCCGCCGATCTCTGCCACCGGCTCGTACTGCACTGTGCTCTCCTGCGCCATGACCTGCAGCAAACAGCTGGACCAGCCCATGACACCTCATGACATGCTTCTCAACTGCTGTATGACACCAAACTCTGCCATTTAGGGGTTTAGGGGAACCCCAACAAAGTTGATCAAATAACAATAAATTAAATTTGACATTATTAGTGTTTCATTATGCTTTCTAAACACTGTTTTGAAAATGTCTGTAATTCTATAGAGAGAAAACGAACAAAAACAATTTTTTTTGGTAACTCTTTGTTTTTAGGTGTCCTTATTACACACGTTACATGCACTTACTATTATAATAACAATAAATGATGCATAATTGCATGCATGTAACCCTAAGCCAAACCCTAACCATATAGGAAGTACCTTTAGTTAATATTACTCGGTACTAAATGTATAATTACACTGCAACAAGGACACCTTAAAATAAAGTGCAACCAAAGTTTTAACTTAATATAAAAAGTTGAAACATTTTACAGTATAAATTTAGAGAGTATAGAATGGGAATATAGAGCTGGCATTGTATTTGAGGAAGGGGATAGTTGGCTTTAAAAAGTTTGGGAACACATTGTAGAACTGACCATTGTCCCAGACAGCTGGTTGGATACTTGTTGGACTGTCCAAAAAAAGCATGCATTTATCGTGGTGTTTTATATTAGTGAATCTTTCAAGAAAAAAGGCATACTGTTAGTATTGCTGTCTGAAGTACTGTGTAAAGTTCAGTTGATATTTGGGCTTGGCCTGTAACAGTCCCACACTCGCAGGATGAGAGTGATGAGCAGATCAGTCAGTCTCATCAGTTACAATATGACTTTCACTAAACTTGCAGTCATCAAATCCCATCCGCCGAACTCATGCGTCAACACTTCTGAACACGACATCAAAAGAAACGCTATCGCGTGTAATATAACGCGCACGCACACGAACACTCAATGAGAGACACTCACCACGTTTCTCCTCGCGTGTAGAGCTAGTTAAACTAGTTTAGAAGAGTAAAGCGTCCTTCTCATCTCTTCCGAGCAGTTTCTTCCGTCTGCCGCGCTTCAGAGGTGCTGTGCTGTGTTCTGTAGTGTGTGTTGGTGAGTGGCGTGCTCAGCTGATATTTCATGAGTTTATTTCTTGAAAGAGTGTGTGTGTGAAACTCTGGCCTGCTCTCAGTCTGTGTCTCCATTCACTTCCTGTCTGATCTCAGGGCGGAGCGACACGATCAGACCCCTCACACAACCAATCACCTCACCTCAATAACACTCTCTAAGCATTAAACTTACCTCAATAACACACTTTAACTATTAAACTTACCTCAATAACACACTTTAACCATTTAACTTAACTCACACGTTAACTATTAGAAATAACTCCCTTTATCATTAAAAGTGCACAATCATAACAGACTTTATTATTAAACAGTTTACTCACCTTTTAAACGTAAAAATCCTTGGTAATAAGCACATGCAGTTTCTCTACCCTGCTGCCCCTGCATATGTAATATTTTTGTACTTTATCTTGGCTTGGCATTAAAATACATTATTCTTTACATTAAAATTAGTCATAAAATTAGTGAAACTTTTGTCATTTTAAGTGTAAGGAGTTTAAGAAATAAATCTACTAACAGGGATAGTCCACCCGACACAAAAAATTGTCATGTCATTACAAATCTAGAAGATTTTTGTTCTTCTTGTAAACACAAATGAAGATATTTTTAATGAAACCTGTCCCTCCGTTGAAAGTCCTTGTAACCAAAACTTTGACATGTCAGAAAGTTCATAAAGACATAGGAGCTAAACGTAATTCATACGAATCAAACGTTTAATCCAAGAATTAATGTAGGTTTTTATTCACATATAAACACGGATCAATGCACATACATACAACTCATTAAATATGGTCAACAAAATCTCAAAGAAGTCAGGAGACTTGGATTAAACTGCTTGATCCATATGTCTTTATTACTGGATCACAAATAAAAAATCAATCAAATCCACCATTCCTCTTTTAAAAAGGGACCAACCCATGGTCTGATGAGCCTCAGCATCACGTTCGGACAAACCTGGCACCTGCACAATATCCCAACAGTAAAGCAAGGACTGGACTTGAACCCAAACAGACATTTCTGGAGAAACCTGAAAACGGCTGTCCACCGATGGTCCCCATTCAAATTGACAGAGCGAGAGAGGATCTGCAAAAAAAAAAACAAAAAAAGACAGAAAATCCCCAAATCCAGACGAGCAAATCTTATCACATCATACCCAAAAAGACTTGAGCTGTAATCGCTGTGAAAGGTGCTTCAACATGATGCTGAGTTAAAAACCTGAAAACGGCTGTCCACCGATGGTCCCCATTCAAATTGACAGAGCGAGAGAGGATCTGCAAAAAAAAAACAAAAAAAAGACAGAAAATCCCCAAATCCAGGCGAGCAAATCTTATCACATCATACCCAAAAAGACTTGAGCTGTAATCGCTGTCAAAGGTGCTTCAACATGATGCTGAGTTAAGAGTCTGGATACATATGCAATGTCGTATTTTATTTATTTATTTATTGCAAAGACAAATCTGGTTTCTGCTTTCGCATTATGTGATCATGTGGTCACATTATGAAGTTAGGTTAGAAAACAAATTCATGTGTGTACAATTACACATCACGAAACAGAAACACGTCCTAACAGAAACAGAATCAATGCCAATGTAGCCCATGAAAAAGCAAATTCTTTTAGGACTGTGTTTACACCAGTGCAAAATAAAGATTTAAAACTCCTGTGATGAAGCTCCTGAATGAAACACCGCTCAAATCTCTAGAGATCATAGAGCACATATCACAGGAAATGAAAACAGTGTGATGATTTTAGATCTTGTTGAATTGAAAGAGCGTACCAGGAACTACTGGTGGGGTTTCAGTTTTGACAGGCCAAAAAGGTTATGATTGCGAAGCTAAAACTGGACTTCCCCAGAGTGAAATCCACCCATTGGCTCAGAGCTGGAATCAGCTGATTCTGAACAGCGGTGTGTGACTGCAGTCCTTCTGAAGAACTCAAAATGGACTGAACAATCACTTACCATGACAAGCAGCAAAAAGATCTAGACATTCAAATTCTGAAAACAGGCTAGGTCTTCACATTACATGGACTTGGAGTTGTCACAGCTGGCTTGTAAGCAACAACTATAAGGCAGGATTTAGTATAGACTGTTAGATTAAGGTTAGGGTTACTAGAATAAGTTGACGTAGTTACAAAGTTACTTCAAAGTATACTATCAAAATAGCATGTTACCAAAAATAGATACATAAATTAAAACAAATCTCAAAGTAACACCAATCTAGATTGTGGAGAAGGGGAGCAAAGGAACGGTCACTATCCTCTCAATCCAGGCAGGATTAATGAGCCAAGAACAATACCTAGAGAACCACCAGCCCACAAAATAAGGTGGTTTTGGTGCAGTAAAAACAGTGAAAATGTTTCCCTGTGCTAACTAAACCTTTCAAAAGCAAGACTGAAGATGTATCTTGTACATTTAGCAGGGAACATCACACAGCTCCAGTGATCTGAAGTTTTCTTAGTCTTCTGCTTTCTGAAGACCTGGTTCACATCCTCTACACAGACCTTAAGCACAGGTTGAATGGTGGGGGAGGGAGGGAGGGGGGTTGCAGGGGTGGTAGGTGAATGTGTGAAGTGCAGATCAGAGCGGATGGGGGCCGGTAGACGATCCTTTTCAAATCTGCAGTAAAACACATTCAGATCGTCAGCCAGTTGTTGATTGATGTATACCTCATTTACGCATGTTTTCGGTTTGATTTAGCCTGAAGGATGTTGTACTGGAACTGCCTGCATCTCTCAAATTGTTTTAGGACTTCAATAACTGGAAATGAATGATCCTTAATCTTTCAACATGGTGATTTAATTTACTTAATATGACTATATAATATATGTACCTATATAATATTTGGCATATGTTAATTTATTGTAATGTGTGTTTACATGCAAGTCTTACATTACAAGTCTTGATTAGGCTAATGCAGTACATGTAGCAAGGTTATTTTGTATATAATAAATAGAAAGAAAACAAGTAAATAGAGAATACTAGTGTTAGAGGGTCAATTTATTTTATTTTACAATAAAAAGAAAACAAGTAGTTAGACTAGAAATAGAATAGAGAGTGCAAGAGGGTCAAGTGTAGATGGATAAGATGTCTTGAATGACTTGGATTAAGCTGGGCAGCTCATTCCACCAGGAGGGAACATTTACGGTAAAAGTCTGTGAAAGTGATTCTGTGCAGCTTCGGGATGGCACTTTAATGCAGCTTTCACTTGCAGAACGTGCGCTTCTAGAGGACACATAAGTAGTGAATTTAGGTAAAGGGGTACAGAGCAAATTGGTGAACAGAGGTGTGAAATGTATTATTTTCAGCTCGTTAAAGACTAATCTTGCAGCTGCATTCTGGATTAATTGTAGAGGTTTGATAGAACTGGTTGGAAGACCTGCCAAGAGAGCATTGCAATAGTTCAGCCTGGACAGAACAAGAGCTTGAACAAGAAGTTGTGTAGCATGTTCTGAAAGAAAGGGCCTGACCATCCTAATGTTGTATAAAGCAAATCTGCAGGACCGGGCAGTTTTAGCAATGTGGTCTGAGAAATTCAGTTGATCATAAAACATTACTCCAAGGTTTCTAGCTGTTTTTGAAGGATTTATGGTTGATGTGCCTAACTGGATGGTGAAATTGTGATGAAGTGATGGGTTTGTTAAAACCACAAGCACTTCTGTCTTGGCAAGGTTGAGTTGAAGGTGATGGTCCTTCATCCAGCAAGAAATGTCTGTTAGACAAGCTGAGATGCGAGCAGTTATCGTCTGATCATCAGGATGGAATGAGAGGTAGAGTTGAGTGTCATCAGCATAGCAGTGATATGAAAACCCTTGCTTCTGAATGAAAGAACCTAGTGATGCCATGTAGACAGAGAAGAGAAGTGGTCCAAGAACTGAGCCCTGAGGCACCGCAGTAGCTAGATGTTATGACTTGGACACCCTAGCCCTCCAAGTTACCTTGAAGGAACTTTGCCAGTAGATACAACATACAACATAGGATGCATGCTGTGCTTCACAAAGTAATTATTAGTGGCCAAGCAACAATATTCTGTAAGAAACTGAAAATACTCCATCTATATATTTTGTCCAATACTATCCACCACAAACTGTTCCGGTGATTTTCAGAACAAGTTGCACTGAAATGACCGAATGCACTGAAACATTTTTTAATAGTGTTGAAAATCTGTCTGGTTAACATAGCAAGCTGACAAACATTTCACCTGATTGGTGTAGCGTTTGATAATCAAGAGATTGTGTCTGAATCTTTCCTGGGATTAAATTATTCCTCTGTTCTTGACTCCATTATAATGAGTGCATGCTGAGCTAAACACACAATTGTCTTCTCAATTTTTACATATATCTGACTGAAACGGCTTCTTAAACAAGAAACAAATGTAGGATGGGACTTGATTGTGTCGTTTGGAATTTGACTGGATCACTGTGGTTGGCTAATTGCGATTGTAATCTCATACACATCTGGGCTATTTTCCAGGTTTTCATAAATGTCCATGACAAATAAAACCAATATAGACTGTGAAAAGCTGCATCTTTCTTCTATCTAGACTCATAATGAGCAAAATTATTCTTTTTTATGTTGTTCCTGGCCTTCAGTCACTCACTGTGTCCTGCACTGTGTTTTTTTGTTAGTGCAATTTACTCACCAGTATTGTGTTGACGTTTATTTAAGTTCACTTGATTACATGCATTTGTTAAGTAACATGGACAATAGAGGATTCAGTGAAACAGTGAAAGCTGATTTTCTCTGTAAAGTCAAGAGTCACTGAGTCACTTCACTAGGAGGAAGCATGTTTTATTGGCCTATCTTTGCTCAGTAGGAGAAATAAATGCAGAAGAATTCAATCTAAATGTGGGACAGATGTAAGTTGAGAGTGAATGTGCTGACATGTGTCATAAGACATGAGGAGCGGAAGTTCTGTAAGCACCGCCTTCTCTACAGAATGGGTGTCAATGTTGATTTGGCGTCGCCTTGATCTCTGAAGACCTCAGCGTTCACTGTTTCACTGAGGATCATATCATCTGGAAAGGGATCATGGCCTACCAGTTCAAACTGGCTGAAAAACTGGTCATACTCAATGACCGGGGTCAAGGAGTGCTGATCAGGATGAACCACATTAAAAAGGTGAGAGGAAAATTAATTCTTGTAATATTCACAAACCCCTGAAAAAGACCAATATAGGCAGAACTGATTTTTTTGTTTGTTTGAACTCGCAGTGAATATGTGACTGATTGACAAAAGACTGAACTGAATTAACTGCTATGTTTGTTGAATTGTTTGTAGAACTAAACAATGCTCAAATATCCCGCTGCTTTATTAATCACTAAGTGTTTTTACAGTATGTGTTTTTATAATCTAGATTGGTTTTGAACGTACATTATAACAATTTTATTCAGAGGGCTTTTAAAAGTGTAATTTATGCACTGTATTTTGTCATGTTTTCCAAAGAAAGTATGTTCTGTGTCAGTATTGTAGAGAAAGAGGAAGTGCACACAGGAAATGAACAGGACCTATCAGGCCCCTCTGTAAACCACATCTCCCTCACATACACTCAAACAGGCTGCACTTCCTGTCTGTCTCAGAACCAGTGTTACACATATTCACGGCAGAGCTTCTAAAGGACTAATCCACTGTCAAGACTAATGCAAACATTACAGTGCAATAAATCAATATATAGATTCTCTGACCAACCCAAACGGCATAAGTGTTGGACATTCTACCTATTTTTCTTCAGTGTCTTTGCACTGCCTCTACAGTGGCTTGTGCTGTAAAAGCTAAATGTTATGCAGGCCTCTACACAAGGTTAAAAATCATATTTATCTATGCTTGATATCCACAGTAAAATTGGGCACTTCAGAATGTCTCATGTTGAGTCGAATGCACCCTATGCTGTATCATTCTGAAACTCTGTATGTGCCTTGTGCTAATAGCATTTGATTAATTTGGCCTATTGTCTTGATAGATTCCCTGAGACATGCAGAGAACAATGATACCAGTTATGGTTAAACTTGCAGTCTGACATTTGAAATTGTTTTTTTAACTCATAATTGAGTATTGGTCTGATTTTCACTGAATTTTCTTCAGATCATCTTCAGAGCATGCCATACGTGTGTGGTAAAAAATTAAATCACATTACAAGTGATTGTATTATTATAAATATTTTCAATGTTTTTTTTTTCCCCACAAAGGTGACACATTAATTTGTTTTCAGTCCTTGTGTATTGCGTATACAAACCTGTATTTTTGAAAGTATGAGGAGGATGGCTTCCACAGAGTCTAGTTTCTTCCTCATCTATCTGAAGCAGCTTTCTTTTGGCTCACTGAGGATTTTAAAGGTGTACTTACTGTCATTCTGCTTTAGAATTATTTGTATTTTTAAAAGTATTATAGAAATAAAATAAAATTGAATAGTGAGGCCAGAAAATCTGTTAAATATCTTGGACAGGTTACATGATCATATCCTGATCAAGGCATTCTTCATCATTCAACATTGAGGGGCACAAATGTTTTTGGGTGGTTTGGCATTCTGGGTTTTTATGTTATTTTTTCATGTAATTTTTATTTCAGGTATGCACAGACCCAAAGCGAAGACCATCATACTTTACTGACAAAAGCATGGAATCTGCCATAAAATACATCAACAGAAAATTTCCCAACTTTGACATCAGGGGTGGCAGTGTGAGTATTCACAAATAAAAAGGGATTAATTGTTGTCTTTGTATTTGGCTCAAATCTTGAATATTTTATTTCCTTTTTTTTCCAATATGTTTCTGCAGCAACATCTGAGCAACATACAGAAGCAGAAGTCAGCCGTATTGGAGGGCCTGCACAGTTATTACGAGTCCTTCATAGATGTCATGGAGTTCAGGGTAAGCATGTCAACAGATTAAACTCAAGTTCATTTGGTGGCCATCTTAGTAATATTGTCAGGCAGCAGTTTCTAGTCATGCAAGTACAGCTTAATCTACTTAAACTGAGAAAGACTCATTTTCAAAGACTCACAGAAGGATATAAGACTACAATTTTACAGCTCTTTGCAAAAAAACGAACAAAAAAACAATAACATCATGTCAAATGAGCAACCCTAGTGAAAAATAAATATACTTAATTGTATTTAAAATATATTTATTTTATGATAAGTATACTAAAAATAGATTGACATGTCTATACTAACTGAAAATGCACTCTAAATTGTAGTTATTTCATGCTTTCATCTAGCACAAACTTTGTAAAATACTATACTTTATACTAATACATTTGGGGAAGGATGAAATATATATATATTCATCCTTAAGTCAAGTCAAGTCAAGTCAAGTCTGCTTTATTGTCAATTTCTCATCTCTGTTGCTAATGAGACCCACTACAGTCGTGTCATCCGCAAACTTGATGAAGAGGTTGGAGTTGTGTGACGGTGTGCAGTCGTGGGTCAGCAGAGTGAAGAGGAGGGGAAAGTACACTGGCCAGGTTCTTCGTTCTTCATTCCATCTACAACATGTTTTAAAAAGTGATTTTCATAATGGTGCTTTCTGGGAACAAAAAAAAAAAAAACTTTAAATATGACCTAAACACACACCCACATAAACCAACTGGATGACAACTTTGAAAGAGGATGCTCACTTCATAACCCCAATGACATGTCCATGCTCAACCCGACAATTAGTCTTGGTAAAAGATGAATGAGGCAACTCATCTTATGATCCTGTAGATGTATGAAGGCCATTTTAATGTATGTCTGTGGGGATTGTTTGTACTGTATGTTGTTGTCATATCATTAAGGCTGCTGTATGAGTTCTCACCTAAGACTATGGCATAAAAGACAATATCACATTCTGTGTATCGATATTTGTTTGTTCCTTTGCCCGTTTTTGTGTCTTAATAAGTATTGTAATAATGTGATTTTAAGATCGGCCTAAATATATGCTACAGTATGTTCAGTGAAGGGGGCTTGATAAGTCAGTCTCTCCTCACCTAACTTTCACAAGCTGTGAAATTCACCAACAAGTTCTTCCACACCGACTGAATCAATCTTTTTTTTTTTTTAACCTTGCCTTATACACAGAGGCATTGCTGTGTTAGAATAGAAAAGGGTCCTGTCCAAACTACTGGTATAAAATTAGAAGCACACAATTCCATAGAATATCATTATATGCTTAAACATTAAGATTTGTACTCATGGAAATTACTAGAATAGTCAAACCTGTTCATTAGAAGGGGTGTCCCAATACTTTTGGCAATATAGTGTGTAAGCCAGCCTAGCTATTCAAAATCTTTGTCTGCAATTTAATAATATTGACCTATTACTTTTGCTATTGCTTTTGACCATTAGGTATCAGTAACATAATTCACTCAGAACCTTTTCTATGGACATAGACTTTCTGTACCACACTATTCTGCTGATATGGAATGAGTTTGACTACTTAATC